GGGATTTATACCAGGTTATAATGTCATTCTCTCATCCAAAACATACCCAGAGTATTGCTTTGACTCATTCATGCATGTTTGAGAAATCCTTGAATCTCCTGTGGTAGCCATGTGGAGCTACCTTAACTCTGGCTGCTACAAAGCTCTGCCCATGTATACAAAGCTCCTCCCTGGAGCTCAGTCTGCATTTGAGCTCCCGCCCCACAGAGCAACCTTCCCCTGAAGCATTGTTGTAAAGACGTGCTGAAGTGGGAGTGTTGGAAACGGTAGGAAGTTCCTAAAGAGACAGAGACCAATTTCAAGTCATTTACGGTAGATATTAGTAATGATTCAAAGTCAATTTTATTTTTGATATACAGCATTTTCAACAACTGAAGGTAACATAGTTACTTGACTGTGGTATAGAATTTCACTCTATGCCTGGAAAATACATAATACACCCCTTTTAATGTGGTGATTTGTCTTTTATTTCTTTAATAAATTGATTAAAGCTAAGAAATGGTGAGAAATCGCTCCGAGTATGCAGCAATAAATACAAAAATAAAAAACAGATTGATAAAGAGAACTGTGATGACATCCAGATGCTTTTTCTGTTTTTTAATTAGTAAAAGATATGAAGTAAAAGCCTTTAGTCACTCAGTTTGACGTTTTAACTGAGGTCAGCAACTTGTGCATATCCCCTTCACTTGTTTGTGTTTAAAAAATATGAACAAAATATCTTCACAGCATGTTTTTTTTCTGCTGTGAAACTATTTTTAGTTTCTTTAATGTGGTAATTTGTCTTTGCGTGGCGCTCTTATCCAAAAAGCCTAATTATGCTGCTTGAACTGGGCACCTTATCACTGTTCATCCACATAAATGCTGTTCGAGCATAAACATTGTGATAGCAGTTGTGGGCAAAGCAACTCTGGGGAGCGGAGGGTGGGGGGTGGGGGTCACTGAATAATACATCAAACTTAGTGCATCCGCCTTATGGTACGTTTTGCTGGTGGTGTGTGCTGAAGTACGTACAGGGTTCTTCACACACACACACACACACACACACACACACACACACACACACGCACACACACCTGTCATGCATGTTTGCTGGTTTGGTAGCAACTGTTTGCTTGAAATAAACAGCTGTATCAGTCCACTGCAAGCAGATTTGGAGGGTGCTCAGAAGAGTTTACAAGCATGTAAACATCCCCTGCAAATGGTCCATGTGCACCAGAGGGGTGTCTGCACATGTGTGGAAACACTGGAAAAGCAGAATAACCCGCGACGATGCTGCTCCGGTGGCCGACAGAACATTTAAGGTGCAGATTAAAGGCGATTAATCTCCCAGATTGGAGAGAAAATCCGGAGAGAATGCTATCACACCTGACTGTAGTTACAATCGGAGCGCAGTTATCACACCATCGGATTAAGATGCATCTAATAGCAAAGATACGAGCATTGAGTACAACCCGTTTTCCCCCTCTTTTTTTGTTGCTTATCAGTTTTTGCTCAGCAGAGTTACTTTCTGTGTAGATGTGTTAAGTCTGTGATGCATGTCGAACATTAATCAGCTCCCCTGCTGGCTGTCAGGCTCAGAGTTGTGAGGAGGTGGAGAGACACATGTTGTTAACACAGTTTCAACATTAACTGCTTTTCTCTTCTCTGTCGTTTAGATTCACTCGCTTTAATTGTTGTGCTTTTGAGTCGTTCGCTGACTTATAGTGTTTGATACAGTAAATTTGGACACGCCTTCACACAAACTGATGTACATTAGCTGATTGATTTCGCCATAAACTCACACTCAGGAGCCACCCATTAAAACTCTGATCTCATCGATATGTGTGCAGCATTTGCAGCATGTGGGGCTGAATTATTCACTTCGTCTTCTGTCTCTCCCTTGGTTGTGCTCCTTTACTCCTCTTTTTCTTTTTTTTAACATTTCCGTATCTTCTTAATTTCCTTTCACTCCCCCCCAACTTTCACATTTTGTCTACTCATGCATGTCCTTAATTCCCCATGTCTACGTCTTCTTCTTCTCTTCCCTTTCTTCTTTTTCACAGTCTGTTTTTTTTCTCTTCTCCTGTCAGCCCTTAGGCATGTCTCAGCCATCTCTCCTCTTCATTTATTAATACCTGTACTCATCCAGCTGAGCACACACACACACACACACACACATACACACAGCTGCCTCACATCTCTGTCTGACGTTCTCACACACATACGCGCGTTATGCCTGCCGACTGCACTGAAGTCCCAGAGGATGTGAGGAGCCTGGAGTGTCCACACACTCACACCAGCTTACGGTGCAGGAAAATGCCCTTTGTAAAAGGACAGGGAGCATCAATCTCCCAGCTGGGTCAGTGTGCAGTTTGAGGCTTTTTTTTCTTTTTGTAGCTCTGCGCTTCCTAGACTTGCGTGATTGCACTTTATTCCAATTACAATACATCTGATGTTACAGTTGTCACTATTGTTTCACCTGACTGCGATCTCATTTACAACTAGAGAATTAGCATTTTCTGTGAAAATGGAGGGAGAAAGCTTAATGCTAAAAGATTTTTGCTGAATAGATTAAAAAGCTGAAACTAGTCTAAAATAGCTAAAAAGAAATAGCTGAAATTATCATAAAAAACAGAAAGCGCAGTGAGAAGCAGAAGTTATCACGAAACTGTGAATTCAGCTGAAAAAAGCTCAAATGAGCTAAAAAGTAGCAAAAAATCCCACTAAAAAAGCTGCAGGAAGTTTAAAATAGCAAGAAGCTAAAAGAAGCACAAAAAGTTGAACTTAGCAGAAGAATAGCACAAACAGAAAACAAATTACATTTAGCAAAATAGAAGCTGAACAAAGCTAAAATTAGCATAAAGGAGTTGCTAAAAAAAGCAGAACCAGAACAGTGGCTAAAATGTACGGTAAAGATTTATGAACATTTTAAAGGTTTTAAGGATGAAGACAGCTCTATTCATTTTCAAAGGGAAAAAAATAATGGCAGAAAAATAACTAAAAATTGCAAAAAAGTGCAGTAATACCATAGGAAAATTGAAATGTTGTGAAGTAGCTAAACATTTTGACTTATAAAATGTACAAATAGCACAACAATTGTGGCACAACATATGTGCCAAAAACCATACAGAACAAAATATGATCTTACACAATTATTTACAGAGCTACACATTTGGCTATGCACAGTGTTAGGTTGACTCAACAATCCATAAACTGGAACAAATATTCTTTATATTGTCTACATGAAATTACATGAAATTGTGCATTAGATTATTTTCAAGCTTTGACCAAAACCTTGAAGATAATCTTAGATGAAAGGCAAACAACATTATATATTCCTTCACAGGAAGTTGCAAAAAAAAAAAAACCCAAAAAATAAAATAAATAAATAAAATGATGATTTTCATAGGTAATGAAGACATTTTATAGGAGTCATATGTTTGTGAACACATTCACTCTGATCAGTGCTCACATTTAAACATAATAACAGAGCAATCAGTGGGGGGGGGGGGGGGGGGATAAATGTTTATGAATGCTTCATTTCACATTGTTAGATCTGTGTAGAGTTGTTAACATCAATCTGTCAGAAAACCAATTATGCAACCTGTCAGTCACTTGGATTTTTTTTAAATGGAAAAAATAAACTTTTCTGTGGCCGTTTTGGTGCATTTAGGATCATGATTTTGCTTTGGTTACGTGACAGCAGAGATGATGAACATCCCCTACTGTTATTTTTTGCTTGTATGTGCGTTTGTGCACAGCAGACGGGTCCTCTTGACTTGCAGCTGTTTCCCTGAGCTTCCACCTATATTTAGCTCTTTGTGCGAGTGGAACGATGCTCTGAGGACGAGGTTGGAAGGCAGTGACAGCGAAAGCATTTTGACTCATGTGTTATAGAAATGTGAACCGCAGAGATGGTGCGCTACGGCTGTGTGCATGTGAGAGAAACTGTAGGTGAACTCATCATGCACCTCAGTGCCAGCCCATTGCGAGGCATGCATATGTATGCACTTTAGATTGTAAAGAACTCGGTTCAAACCACCTGCTGTCATTAGTGTTTCTCTCTCTCTGGGAGCACGAGGAGTGTTTATGAAGCAGAAAAACTTGGCCTCAGCTCCCCTTGGGTGACTTCAGCGCCATCTGGAGGCTGTCATCATCAAAACGGAGACATCCGGGCTTAAATAGACGGTGTTTAGTCCTGGCCATGCATGTGGAACTGGCCATTTTATTGAATTTGATGATCCATTACAGCTCAAATGGAGGTCCAACTCCCTCGGGGTGAAGAGGATATTGCATAGGCAGCAGGGCAATCACAAGGCGATTACAGTACCTGCTGACTGTATTGTAATACTGATATATAAACCAAGGTATTAAGGAGGTTTACAGATTAAAAAATATATATCAGTGAAGCTGTCTAGGTGCTTAATGACGTCCAGCACGCCCACTGCTGTATAGATTGCAATAAAGGCCCAACAATTACTCCTTCTTGATTAAAAAAAGAGCAATGCATGATGAACTGCGTGCAGGCTGTGTAATAAAGAGAGAGTTGCATATGTAAACATTTAGCGACCACAATCAGTCACAAGGAAATGAGGATTTATACCAGCAATAAGGATCATATGTGGGAGCTGATGCAGAAGATCAATGGTAGTAAAGCTTAGTGAGGCTTCGATACAACGCTGAGGGGTTTTATAAACTGCAATGTGGTGAAAAAGACTCATCATCTGTTGTTTTACAGCTTAAAGAGAAGGAACACTTTATACACAATTCTGCTAAATTCAAACAGTACAAAATTACTATTTTTACATGAATCTGAAATTGTTTCAGCTGTGGAGCTAATTTCACATGCAGCTTTGGTAAAATAGGCAAAGAAAAGAAATTCACAAGCTGAGTTTTAAAGTTGAAAAGTTGCCTCTGTGTTTCTGTGATCAGTTCAGTTCACGAACACCACATGTCTGCGCTGTTTCGTGCCTGGCTGTGAATTCACGTCTTTCTAAATCTCCGCTGTCTTCTCTTCACAGTGAACATCTATCATGTTCCTTCTCCTTCTTCCTCCATGGGGAGAGTAACGTGTGCACAAGTGTGGAGATCGCCCAGCACCAGCCTGCGTACCACATCACAGAGCAGCACATCCGACTCGCACAGACCTCTGCCACACCGGTGCAGGGTAAGACCACCAATCAATGAACATTTTTAAAAGTCTGTGAGCATAGGCTAAAAAAGGGATCTTGTTTATGGACCACTGACACTGTTTAGCACCGCCTATCAGATATTCATTTACCATTATTTAACCAGGCTAGTCCCGTTGAGTTCGCAGATCTCTTTTTCATGGGAGATCTTGAGGCAACCTATTGTACATGTTTTTGGGGCTGGGGGAAACCGGAATACCCAGAGAAAACCCACACAAGCATGAGAAGAACATGCAAACTCCACACAGAAAGACTTCAGGTCTGAACCGGGGATCAAACCCAGGACCTTGTTGCTGTGAGGCATCGATGCTAACCGCTGAGCTGTTGTGCCGCCAGATATGGTTTGTGGGATTGTTTGGGGGCAACCCACAGTGAAGTTAATGATGGGACAGGTTCTCAAACTTTCTTTATATCGCTCAAATGTTGGGATTAGTGCCTCACAATCTGAAGATGCAAAATATAGATAATGTTGTACTGTGGTGCAATAATTTGACTAGAAATATAATGTATTAATTAGTACTGTATAGTATTTCAAAATATCAAAGATATTGCTAGAGAAAACTTCTGTATACAGTGATCATATTAGGAGCATCAAGACCAGTGGGGCTGGGTGATAAACAGATAGTATACATACAGTATAATCTTATAGTAGGCTGATCTGTCATGCATTAAAGGCTGAATATAAAATTAAACAACCTTATTGTCCACACATTACATTTGGCATATATTGTATTAATTTAATGTATGTGATTTTGTTGTAATGGTGCTAAATGAATTTGTTATTATGGCCTGTAACCTTCTGCATAATGTATATTATTGTTAATAAATAAAATATAATTACATAAGATGTGTTCAAGTTTTAAGCTAGCCCTTATCCATATATTTTACAATATTAAGTGGGAAAAATGATCTGTAGGCAGCTGATATGATACGCAGCCAGGATCACTTGATACCACTTTAACATAGTTCGCACTAGACCACAAACAGACTAGACCACACACACACACACCAGCACTGGATGCCCCCAAACTGGGCCGTGATGCTTTGTATTAAGCAAAGATGGTGGTGTCTGTGAAATGGTCCATGCATTCTATGACAATTTCCAATCAAAAGTTTAATTATGATAAAAACAATGGAAAGAAAACTTTATTTAGAGGATTGGTTTTCAAAGTTGGGGTCTGGACTTCACTTTTGAGATGATTTCCAGTAATTTAATTAAATCTAAGGGCTTGTCTGACATGTTTTAAATTTCTTCCAGTTTCTCATCTTGTCTCTGTCCAACATTTGTGGATTTTGATCGTTTTTCATTTGGGTGTGTGCACAGTGGTCCTGAGTCCGTACGGACTGAGTGGCACTCTGACGGGTCAGGCCTACAAAATGAGTGATCCCGCAGCTCGGAAGCTGATGGAGGACTGGAGCTACTTTTATCCCATGGTGCTTCCGCAGAAGGAAGGAAGTGGTGAGAAGGACCAAAAGGAAGCGGGTCATGCTTTTGATCGCGGCGCTCATGTGGCAGTGGACGTCATCGTAGGTACGGTTGAAATTCATTTAACAGCTATAAAAATGTTTTTCATTTTAAAGCATGTTTATAAAAATACAGAGTAGGTTATGGCAGCCCTAGAGGAGTTATTTCCCAGTGAAATCCATGTTCTGCATATTATCTCTATGCAGCTCAGACTAAAGACTACTGCAGATCCCTCAGCATGTAAACAGCAATGAATAATCAATCGCATTAGGGTCCCAGCAATGTTGCTCTATAAAGCAAACAGTGAGACACTAACATTTCATTGATTCCCCTCGTCTCTCTCTGTAGACTACCAGGCAGTTTGAGTTGAGATAGAGGTGGATGTGGTGCTTCTAAAGCACTGATCCACACAGACTGTTAACCTGTCTGAAAGTGGAAGTGACTGGAAGGTAGGAGGGTGAGACAGAAAGAAAGGAGCAGTCGGGGAAAGTGATGTATAAACTCCAGGGAGATTCTCTAACAGGCTAATCAGTCTGATCCCACAATGTCGACTTGACCTGATTACAATTAAAGCTCCTTTGGATATCAGTGACTTTTACACCCTGAAATGATTCTGAGAAAGCATAAACGGAAAAGCAGTCTGTGTCTCTGACAGAGCAGCCATATCTGTGGCCAGTTGTTCTTTTATGCAGTTCTTTTAAGGAAACAAGCATTTTAAAATAGAAATCCAAGTTTTTAAGCGTAATTAAAAAAGTAAACCTTGCAATTATTGCAGCAGCCTTTGTTTTGAAACAATAAACCCTCTTTTTTGTCTTTCTTAGGTGGCGTTAGCATGACCTACCCAGCTGCTTTTGTGTTGATTGCCCAGGCGGACCTACCGGTGGAGCAGCCTCCACTTGCTCCTGCAGTTCAGGGTCCCAACAAGGAGCTGAACAACTGCAGTGTGCCTCTAACTCCACCGACGTCACCAGAACAGCCATGCTCTGGTAAAAAAAATATGCACGCTGGATATTTTCCTACATAATGCCAGAAGAAAGCTGTTACAGTGAAACAAGACAGGATTTGTTTTATATTGTAATATTGAGCACTTTAAAATATACCTAACTATACTTAGCACAGAAAGTAAGGAAATTTGTGTTTGGTAGATTATTTATTTGTTGTAACAACACTTCTCGGCAATACATTTTATAGTGGGCACATGATTGTCAGCACCTGGGGGTACCAGAAGCTTAAAACAAGTGTCATTACATACAGCAAAAATAATCTGTTTGGCAGAGAAGATTTGACACATTTTTCATTTCTACAACCCACAAATTCATCTCTACTGTTCATCCCACAAATGCATGTTCCTTACAAATGTGGCACCATTTGGTTTATTAACAAGGTTTTTTTTAACAGGCTTTTCAGCAATACAGTATATGATTTATTGCCGATTTAAGCTTTTTTGCAACAAAGACGTAATCAAACAAACACAAATTGCCTTACTTTTTGTGCTAAGTTTATATTTAAAATCAATAATTATTCCAACAATTTCTGTTAAAAATAATATGCAAACTGAAAACTCCTTTTTTTAAAGGCAGGCAAAATATTATTTATTTTTAATTTAATTAGTCTTTTACTGTATAAAAAACTGTGGTACTGGAAGTTTTTTTGTTGTTGTCATAGTTTTTAGTTTTGTATTAATCGATTAAAAAGTAAATTCTTGTTTGAACAATAATTTAATAATTCAACTGATTCATATGAAGTAAGAAGCATTATGATGATCTTTATCTTATACACAGTGGCTCTTTTTTTGGCACTTTTAACAGACGTGTCTGAATGAAGCATGAAAAAGTGAGTAATGTGTGAATGACTGAAAGCTGCCCCCTTCACAGACTGAGGAAGCTGTTAATGTTACGTATTTTATGTGTGAAATGGTCTCATGTTACTAGTCAGATGTCATTAGGTCAGAAAGCACCAATGGCACAATTAACACATGACACCGACACATTTACTGGATCAATAAAAGGAAATGCAAGTGTAAAAAAAGTGACATGTTTCACTTCTGGTTAGAATCTAAAAAGCTATTTGTGGATGTGTGGTAAAGTTATTATGCTTTTAATCACACAGATTAAAAGGATTTAAAGTTTTTGCTACATTTAAGTTTTTACTGAGTAAATTACTGTTTGGTATCATGCCCAAATTATTTGCAAGAAAGTATACTTGAAAAAAAAAACTTGTTAATATTTGCTCAATTTGTCTCGTTTTTTAGCAGACAGTGGCTTTGTGACTTCGGCCTCGAATGCCCCAACACCAGACAGCAGCATGGGGATCACCAGCATCAGCCCAAAGCATTCTGGGAAAAAGCTGACCTCCCAGGTGGTTCATCAGGCTTGGAAGGAGTGCTATCTAAACCAGTCCCAGCACACGTATGTCACACCATTTTTTTCAAATGTTTTATGTGATTATCAATGTCTGGTACAGACAGAGATGAGGATAGAAAAGCTGTCCCTCCAGAACATTTACTCACACTGATCAAATCCATCACTAACCTTCATTTAAAATTTGAGCTCTTGACTTTTAGCTGAAGGTACAGAGTCGTGTAAATGGAGGCTAAATCACTTCAATCAAAATTTTAAATAAACTCTCTAAAGGTAGAGTGGGTTTTGCAGGATGTAGGAGAGACTGTGGAAGGGGTTGTGCAACATTGTCGTCCTTTTTAGAGAAATCTGCAGTACTGATAAATCATGCTGATGTTGCAAAAAATCTGCTTTAATAGTTTGTGTAATTATAGGTCTTTTCTGACGGCAGCTGTTAAAACACCACTGAGTCCAAAACTAGTTTTCCCAGGGGGACAAATTGTATGTCCTACTGTATTGTATTGTCTCATCTTGTCATGTATTGTATCATATTGTATTGTGTCATATTGTGTCACATTGAAGGAAATTTTGTAACCGATCAACTGAACGTTAGATCCAGTATTATATTTTTTATATATTCGGATCATTGCAGCCATGAGGTTTAAAACAGAGAATAAATGTTTGTGTGTCTTATCGATGCTCTTTCTGTCTTCCTAAACAAAAGTTGGTTACGTTAACGTCTGACGTAAAAGTTAACACCTTCAGGGTGTAACCAGAAAGAAACATTCATTTTAAGGCTGATTCATTATTATATGACTAGACGTTTAGATGGTTTTGTGGGGTCTTGGTTTTAGATTCAGGCTGTGTTTTCATATTCAGATGAGACGAAGATCATTTTACTCTGAGGCCTCTATGCACTGCTTCTGTATTCTACTGGGGCTGATAAGATTCAACTGGTTTTCTTCTATATTGTTCAAACTTCCATTCATTGGGCCTCATGCAAGAACATGTTCGTATTCTTATCCTAAATTTCTCTTACTTTTGTTCGTACGAAGGGTTCGTACGAACACGCCACGTCAGATTCAACAAACTCTTCTATCTTCAGGAAAAGTGTGTAAACGAGCTGCGTAAATTCCACCTGTTCGTGTCCAGCTGCTCGTGCACGAGGAG